ATAGATTATTATAGATAAAAAAAATTATTAACATATAAATAAATTATGTTGTTTCTAACAAGTATAAAAAATTATAGTTATATTTTATAACAATTAAAATAAATAAAACAATGTACAATTACATTTATTACATAGAAAGTAATTAAAATAGCACTTTATTCTATCCTTTGTAAATATAGTTATAATTTAAATACCTATATCTAATTCTTAACCATTATTATTAGGTAGTATTAAATAAAATAACAATTTTGTTTATTTAAATAGTTTACTGCATATCAAATAAAAGTCATTATACAGATAGTTATATTTTTTAAGGATTATTAATGATTTAAATTATAATTTATGATTAAAAAGTTATAAGCGTAAAACAATAATTTGAATGACAATACGGTTACATTAGAATAGCGTGTGTAATAAAGGTTACATTTAAAATTAAAATTAAATACATTATGAGTAAGTAAAATGTGTCGAACATATTTAAAGTTTTTTTGAATTCGCGCCATTGTTAGCTTAATTAATAAAAAATAAATAATCACTAGTTGACTGTATAGATACTTAATTACCTATTCGTTTTTAATATATTTTTTTTTTCATTTATGAATGTAATTAAATAATAAATGGAAACTACAAATACGATTCAAGGAAGTATTACGTAAGTACTTGATTAATCATTTCAGAGTAAGATAAATTATGTTTTTTAGGAAAATTATTATATTTCCCTTTGTTTATTTTTATCCAGCTATTAATTTTAATAAGTATAGATGATTAGAAAAACAATGAAGTTTAAAATTGATTAATTAATATTTTAATTTAGGCTTTAAGCGGATTTCAATTATGTAATACAAAATAACTATGTATAGGTGCATCATTGTTATTACTTATTATTAATTTATTTATTAGTTATCACTTATTAGTTTATTACCTATGATCAATAAAGTATTAATACAATATAAATAACAATACATTCTAAATTATAGAATAAACATTTTTGTACGGTTTAAATGTTTTAGATTAAGCAGTTGATTATGAATCATACTATACATCGAAATCCATTTTTTAATTTTGTAGTATATGCAATTGTCTGCTTTATTGGTACATCTTTTTTATTACTAGATAAAATATATCTTACACTTTTTTTTATTTTACAGGTATCAATTATACAAATAAATTATTTTATACTGCTTTTTGATATTAAATTTAAGTATATTATGTATATTGTAAAAGATGAACAGAAATAGGTTAACAAAAATAGACATAAGAAATATTACAATTTACAACGAAATATATAGTGTACATAGTAAAAAAGACAATCTTTCATTTAAAATGTGTTATTAACTAGTTTTAAACATTTGTTTTAACTGTATAATTTACTGAGATAATATGCGGTTGACAATTATAACAATTTTGGATAAAGTAAATGCATTCTAACAATATAACGATTAAAATGAATTATTAATGAGGGGATCCAAAAATGTTAGTCAGATTTTTTTACGAATGTAATAACTTTTGTTATTTAAATAAAAGCCCTGTTACATAAATATGCACTATAACAATAATTTATAATTAATTGTCATACTAAAAATTAGTTGGCGAGAACAACTTTTTGTTTAAATTACTTGTTCACGTGCGTGTTGTAGAATAACACAAAGTATTGTGAAATTAGTAACAAAGAGGTAAAAATATTATGTACACTAGTTGTATCATTTTATTAACACAAATTTCCATACAATGAATGTTAATGATTTATTCAAAACATTTAATTTCAAAATATAACCTATACTTATATTTTAAACATAGTAAAGTATGTGACGTTTTAATGATTTTATAAAATAAATAGCAAGAATTTAACAATAAATATTCTAAAATATATACTTAAGCACACGATATTTCTTAGATTTTATTCATGAAATAATTTTATCTACTATAATGAAAATATAAGCGAATAAAAAAATTAATGAATAATTAAAAACCTACTCGAAACATAAGTTTTTAGACACACAATGTGCGTGGAGATCTGAATTGTATATTACTATCGGCTAGAACGCGAGCACTAAAATCATACCAAATATATAGTTATTTTTAAATTAATAATGGATATATACCTACATGTTTCAATTGAACTCACGATTTTTTTTATATTTATGGAGAAACTGTTGTCCGCCACTCATTCAACGCCAAGTCAAAACTATTGAGCAAATATATACTCGTATAAATATATACCTATTATTATACTGTAGCACTTTTAAAGTCCGAAATCGGTCCTTTTAGGTTCATACTAAAACCTTTTAAATAATTAATGCTTTAAAATGCACTAAAAAAAAAAACACTGCAGAAACCTTTGTGTGCGCGCCGCATGTATACATAAAACCGAGTGCGGTTAGAATATTTTAATTTTTATATTCTAAATAAAAAAAAACGTGAATACACACAAACATACACAGAAGAAAAATAAGAAAAAAAAACCAAATGGATAATGGACTTGTAATAAAAAAAATAGTGTTTGGGTTGCTTAGTAAATATTTGCCTTTCTCGCGGGCTCGTAAAAATATTATGTAAACATTTTCGGGCGGAAATGCTTGAAAAATGCCTGGGTGGTTTCTCAGGTGCATGGAGTAAAATGTAAACACGCACGTACACTGCACACACCTAACCTACCTATAATGCACCTATATACGACGGCATTCGAGGTATCGCATGGCTTATGTTTGCCGCGTGTGTTCAAGACGACGCGATCCACAGATTACAATGACACTAATAATAAGAACGAAGCGCCTATTGTCTTTTTACTCGGCGCACAAATCGGAAGAATATAGTGTTTCATCTACCTACAACCTACCGTGGTATATGTCCCGAATAAGGTATTTAGTTTAAATTTATATCTGTGTCGTTAATACTGTTATTATTATATTTTTAACAAAACAATGGATTAGTCAAGGTGGTAAGTGTAGACGGTGTACAATATAATAATAATATATAATAGTGATGATGAAAATCGTCTCGTCAATCATTTAGTGGTCTTTCCTCATCGTCGTCGGTACTCCCACCATCAGACTAATAGAGATAAATCACGTTCAAATAATTACAATCTATACACACGCGCACTCCTGCTCGTGAGCACATACTGTATACTGTATAGCGGAGTCGGAGAAAAAAACCTCTTGTCCTTTATCATAACACAATTCACTCACGACCGATGTATATAGGTATTCAGATATACATTATTATTATATATATTTTTTTCCATGAACAATATTAATTTCCTGCGCGCCATATGGGTTCCCGGGGCTTTGATTCAATTTACAGCTGGGGCTCGACAACTATACGGGGGCTCCTTTTCGTGTAGTATAGTTAACCCAATAATATATATATATATATATAATAATGAGAGCCCAGGGTCATTTACCCCCTCGCGTTGTTGTGCATGTGCGGACGTCAGCAGAAGCCCCACGCGGCGCCCGTTACCAACCGCCAGGAAGGACGTTCGAGTATAGGAGGGACGGTGATAATGAGGCGGTAGCGGAGAAATGTAAAGGGCAACGAGAAGAAATCTTACAAGTAACTCACGTAAAGTGTGTATTCAACGGTGTGGCGTATACGGGTCGTGGGCCGACGGAAGAGGGGCAAAGCACACTCGGTTTAGAAATTAGGAAGCCAAACTTTTTTTTCGTTTGGATGATTGTTATATACATATATATAATACGTATGAGTGTGTATATGTGTTTATATTAGACCAGAATAAACCAATACTAACCAATACTTCTGTCTGTGAAACTTTACAATGCTCGCCGAATCAAATTGATTATATTGTAGGAGATTCTGAGTGCACACATGTGTGTAGTGAGCACGCGGTCACGGAAACACGTAAATAAACAGATGAACCTCCCCTTACTCCGAAAACACTAGTTCACTGTAGAATATGTTTCCGAGCGAGATTTATGATGAAACGTTCTCGAGGTTAAACTAAGACCTAAGTTATTCGAATTGATTCTGCACCACACCAAGTAACTCGAACAAAGTTAGACGTATTCGTTTGGAATGGTTTTAACCGATCTCGTGCGCGTACACGTTTATAAACATTTTACATATATATGTATATACATCTAACCGCTTTATTATTACCTAGATGTATACCGGAAAATAAATTATACATAACAAAGGCGGGTTCGCATCTTAAATCTAACGTCAGAGAATAAAATCCAGAAGAAACGTTGAATTGTTATGGTTTCCTATTTCATTTGACCGTTATGTATAGCCAGAGTGCTCGAGTTGTGTGTTTGTGAAGTTTACTCATTCGTTTGTATTATAGAATTTAATATGGGCATATCAGGCACTTACCGAAACGGGCCTCCCTCGTTGAGAAGGACCTAAAAACAGTTACGTATAAAATGTAGGTACCTACGCGTATACGTATACGTGTGGTCAATTTCGAGGGGGCGTGTATGTGAAAGTCAGAGTTTAATAGGACCCGAACAATGTTGTTTCTTTACGAGAGGAAAAAATAAAAATCAATAGGGGTTTGCTTTGTTTCTCGCGTGAACACCACCTTTATATTACATAGTATATATACCCGAAGGGGAAGCGGTGAAACATGAGAAAGTACCACTTGAAATCTGGTCTAATGCATATTATTTTTCATGTGATGCATCATAATCCACTGGAAGTCATTATAATTGGCCGGGAGAGCACGGAACGTTATACGAGAACCGGCAGTTTGTGAGACAAAGGAACTAGTTTTGTCATCGACAGACAATCGCCATAGGGATACCTACATGTAAAGAGAGGCATTATAATATTACATTATATATTGGTCCCTACTCATAAGTTCACATGTGCAACGTAAGATAATAAATAGATTTAATATACGTGCTACGTTTTTTTTTCTTTATAATAATATAATAATATACATTGTAAACATGATAATATTATTTATATATATATATGTGTGTGTGTGTATACATAAAGTCGCTAAGTATTTTTTTATAGTATCACTTTTCACTTACCTACGCACGTGATAGTTCAACAATCACTGCAGATCTCGATCAATATGGAATAGGTAGGTGTCGGTCTACAGTATTTACTATTTAGGACGAATATATATATATAATAATATATGGTATATTATTATGGTGTAGGCAAGGTAAATTGTATACGTCCGTGTATTTGCTATGGAAAAATAAAACAAAAATCATAATATAATTAATATAATATTGTAAATAACGTTATTCAATTTAAACATATAGCAGTATAGCAATGATATATATTACGTGCAGTGTAAATTATATTCGTAATGTAGTACACACAAAATAAAATGTATGAATCTATGCATTATTTTCGGGAATCTATATAAATAACCTATGAGTATTAGTGCTAGTTTATTTAATTTAAATCGCTGACGTTAAAAACTGTAACATTTCTTTATATAAAAAAAAATCATACTGCTATAAATATAAATAAAACATTTTTCATTGAATAATATTTCACACTAATACACACAATAAATTATTAATTTTTATTATACCCATGACCTATATAATTAGAGAAATACTCGTAAAGTTTGTATACCTAATAATTAAAATCTAAATTTTTTGTTTTTTATATACAACACTTAAGTACAGTTTTATATAAGTAAAAATAACAATAGTGATATAATATACCCTTAATACAAAAGATCATTATACTTTTAATTTCTTTTTCAAACATAACGCGGTGAATAAACACATTAAAAATGTAAATTCATAAAATATAATACGTTTTTAATTATATAACAGTCAACTAGAAGAAAAATTATTACATTAGGTTTTTATTCGGAAGTTTACCCTTATACATATGTTCAATTAAAAACATAATACTAGAAGTTATAATTTTATAAGAACCTATTGAATTTTGTAATAATAAAAATGAATTAATATTGTTTTATTTTTATTTTCTACTATTTTCACAATATTTTATAATTATTTCTAGACCAAAAAGCTCGATTAAATCCTTGAAATAATTAATCGTTTCATTTTATAGGAGGATAACCGTAATCTTTTTTCGCTCAAAGATTAATGTCGACGCTATACCCATTGCAGTCGTAAAAATAAAACTTATCCAATTAATTGCACTATTAAAAGTAGAAAGATAATCTCTCTTACAGCCAAAACGTCTAATATCAACTGGATACATTCAAAATTGCTCGTTAAAATATAAATATACACACACGCGGGGCCCATTCTGCGTAGGACAGGCTGCGTATATAATATAAAGATAATTAGTTGTTGACGACAAGTCATATACGCGAATGTGTATGTGTGTGTGTAAGCGTTTTTAACCACACTATAAGAGATGAAAGTAATGTTATTTTTGGAGACGGCGCATACATTCTGTGGTTTAAATTTCAAAACGGCCGTAAAGCACTAACTGTTATACATGAAACCATAAGAACAACGAAACTGAGAAAAAAACTTTTGATGTTTTGCAGCTCGTAAATATATATTTATAATGTAATATTATTAGGCATAGCGGATGAAAACTATTTTCCAGCGACAGTCATATAGTATAACATATCCATTGATATAATCGCCATAGAAAGATTTTATTTTTATAAGTTCATTCGTATACATTTAACGCACGTTACCTATATTAACATTTGATTGTTACTACCAAAGACTGAATTCTACGTGATGCATATTAGATGCCAAATATACACTTGACGCCTGTTCTCTGTCCGGGATAAATTATATATAAATTGACAATATCGCATTAAAATCATTAATTTTTATTTACTATAATAAAAATCGAATTCGCTTCGTTATCATCATACACTTTGTTTATAGTAGATTAAAACCATAAACAGTTCTATAAATTAAGAAATATTACAACTTATCAAATATTTTATAATATATCAAATATACTATACAAAATATTATATTTATAGTATTATCAAGCAGCTTCATTAACTATAATATAGGTAAACCTATCAATAATTATTTAGAATTTTGAGTAATTAATTTAAGATCTAAACCTTTTAACGTAATAGAAGTAAATAATTTTGAATACGTAAAATGTTATATTTTAATCATATTCTATACTCGGTTATGACTTATTACTACATTTAAACACATAAAGTTACATATAACTTAAATACGGTTAGGGGAGAGGATTACTAACCCATCTACGCATATACAACACTTCCTCCCCAAGCCCCTGATTTATTGTACTTGCTTATTACTGCAGTAGATTGTATTTTATTTATATAAACATATGGTTCTCAAATATATTATTTTGTATACTTTTTACGGTTTATACATAAATTATAAGTATGAAGATACACACTAAAGTGTATGTTATAATTTAGCCTATGGTGTTGGATTAATGGATACATAACTATAAATATATAAATATTACACAATACAACACATATTAAATTGATAAATATAGTATATAGGCGTTATAAATGGTATGTACGCTAACTATATACTAGCACGTTTATATGTACACATAATGACTTAGCTGTAAACCGACTCATATGCAGGGACCATTATAATCATCGATTATATAAACAACATATACATGGCTGTATATATATATATATATATAATTTCTATAAATCGCACACCGCAATAGAAAATGCGATGCGCCGTGCACGATAAGAATCAACTGCCGTTATATAAGGCGTAGCGACTACCAGGCACCCGCCAACACATCGTAAGTGCGCTTTGTTATCGGAACTTGTTGGAAACTTTAGCGGTTCAATTATAAACAAATTTTATCTACAAAGTACACACCATATATAGCTTGAACACGCATACACATTCACAACCGCTGTATTTGTTATTATTGGAATCGCTGTAGGCACTAGTCGGTCCTCGTCAGCTGTCGAAGTGTGTGTTAAGGACTGTGCGTGTCGCAGTAACAGCTCTAGGATCTATGAGGGGGAACATCATTAAAACATAAACAAACTGATAAGAGCGATTGATTCATTAAAAATAAACTTAATGCGACTCGTGTATACACCTACTTTAAAAATGGTCAAATTTTGTCAAAAACTTACATTTATGAACTTGTCGTTTTGATTTCATGTTCTACTCCATTTTCACAAGATAAGAGAAAAATCCCATGCCAAATAAGTTTAAATGTATGTACAGCAAAATAGTGGCAACCAAATAAAGAAAAAAAACGTATCATTAAAAAACCATATCTGTACCTACATTACTTTGCTCTGCGCAGAATATAAAATAACCTTTCATATAAACCATCATCACACTGTAAAATACGAACATCAACAAAAACATTTTTGAGATGAAAAAATGTACCTACTCTAAAAAAGACAATACAATGTAATGCGGCAATGAGCTACATAATTTTTAAAACACCACTCCGATGACATCACGTATTTAGGAAAACCATGCGTAATGACGATTTCGATATCGTCGTCCATGAATTTTTTATTATATGCTACCTGTTCATGCAAGGTAATATTGTACAAACTATAGTATATAATACTATATAGTCTCAATGTATACATCATCACACACATATAGATCATACTGAGCATTACGGATCATCACACTTGATTTGAGCATGTCGTGTTTTCTAAACTGCAGTATTGTACTTCGTTTTGGTTCATATAATATGATGAGTGCCCGCAACTATATTAGTATAATACTATACTCATATACATATATTATACCATGTACGATTGTACATCGCATTGTCGCTTTTATTGTTATTAGTATTTATTTATTTATTTTTTTTTTTTTTACATATCCCTTTTATCAGTCAACAAATGGTACGTACGCACATAATAAATAAATAAATGAAAACAGGACAATAAATATTAACAATAATATATGTATACTATAACAGAGTTCCATCACGGCGTCATGACCATGTATAACGTCGTAACGTTGAGTCAATTTAAATGGCTTTTATGAAACGATATAGACTAATGGTCTGAAAAAAAATGATAGGATAAATAAATACATGCGCGTCTCGTTTTATACCGAAGTTTCCAGTATATATATATATATATATTATATATAGTATATACATACACATATATTTGAATAGGGAATAAATATTTGGGTCGACTATCTATCTGTATATGTCTGTCTGTTTGCGATTATACAGTATCTAATATATACTATATAGTCGAAGAAATATTAATATACGAATTGCATTCAGATTTATCCGGCTAAATTTTTACCATATATAAGACCACACTTTCCGATATTTGAATACTCCACATAGCAATACAATTCAATGTATATGCGGAAGCATGTATGTATATAATAATATATATATATATGTTTATATTAATATCGAAATATCGGAGAGAAGTCAAATTTCACAATTCAATAATGTATTTTACATAATATTATAACACACGTACGGTTAACGAGTAATCAAATATTCACCAATTCTATTATACACTTATACGTACACGGATATAATATGCATACCGTCTATATACGCATGTATTAAATAGATAGAGCGTACTACCTACATTATATAGAAATAGACTTGATACGATAAAAACGTAATACTATTTCAGTATGATATTTATATGAGTATGTATAATATAATTTCAAAATGTAAGCACGCGACAAAAAAAAATATAAACAAGAATAATAGTATAAAATATGTGACAATATTTCTGTACACTTGATTTATATATACGTGTAGGGTTACAATAGGACATGAATGAGTTATAGGTATAATGTCTATATATACATACAGATTTACTACTATTATTACAACGCGGCTACCTATCCATTGTTTTTTTTTACTATTGTCACAACCATTATAAAAACTAATGGCGTTTATAAAACTCTCAAATATAAGGTGTACTGTAAACATTTGAAACAAACGGAGTTTTGAAATAAATTTCAATAGTTTATAATGATTTTATATATGTTATACAAATAATAATATACACTACACGGAACGTATACCGATTTTTTAAGTCTTCTAAATCTATTCAACGGACGTTTTTGTTTCGCAATATTTGTTGAAATGCATTGTGCATGTTTAATCCCAGAAGCTTAATACCTCCTTTTTGACTAAATAAACAACACATTTGGTCAGGAGCAAATTTTAAATAATGCACCACACCATTGAATCTTGTTTAGTAAAGTTAATCCATGCCCGTGTCCCCTATATGAATAATAAGCCTCGGCGTG